CGAAATTAGGCATTTTCACGTCGCAGTCGTGCAAAAACGGGAAAGAAATGTACAAAAAAGTGTGATGCACGTGCGAAATTGCGGTTTTGCTAATTAAACCTATTGTTTTTTTGACGTTCTCGTTGTCGTCGGCGTCGTTGGATCTTAAAGTCCCTAATAATACATAAAAAGACGGCAAACAAAAGCAGTCAAAAGTAATTAAGCCGACACGACAAGTTGTCCGGCAAAGTATAAACACCTGATCTATCCAATGCGTGACTCTCCACTTTAGAGATCGGCGTGACGCAGTTTCGCTCCGTCATTGAAATCGTGTCGAAATCGCCGTTCATGTGTGTCAACAGAATCCCTATCCGGTATGATTTTCGTGGCGGCAAAAAAGCTATCCAGTATAGTGTGACCATAGCTAGCCTAATATGTACAACCTCTCCATCGTCGCTAAAATTTCATTTGCACATACCGCAGCAATTACGTAGCTCAAAGAGACAAAACTTTTGGCCACGTACAACAACCACAAAAAATGTCTTAAGTAATTGAAGTTAATAATTAAACTCAACAAAACTTATTTTGTCCCTCCTTCCTTATTTGAAGGGTCATTTCTCCCTCCTTCCTTCTTGTTTTTGACTAGTCATCATTATGAACTTACAATTAAGTGTTACCAAGAGAGAATAAAAGGACAAAGAGCGCCCAGTCACGCCCTTGATTGGTACCAAGTCCTATTATGGCTCTTGTTGGGACACGTGAATTGTACCAAAGTTATTTTTAGTCCAATTACACGCTTAATTTTGGTGTCCGTAGGGCTCCGCAAACTTTTATTCAGTGCCTGTGATTCAAGAGGAAATTCAACAGTCGCAATAACAATCTTCTGCATTTGCAATTGTTTGCTTTGAGGCAGTCGCGCGGGGGACCATGTTGTTGGTGTTTCACTGAATCGATGAAAATGTGCGGACGTCCCAGGAATTCCCTTTTGGCGTTAACGGGCATGAAGAGGAATAGCAACATTTTGTCTTTGTCGACGTTTAAATAATACCAGAAGAGCTCTTCTGAACTCTGGCATTCTGATTGTGCAAATAATGGGATTGACAAGCGAGTTTGTGTGGTATAGAAGAGAAAAAGATAATCTCAAGCGAAAATGTGCCAGGGGAAAAATTCTAACTAGGCCAGAACGGAGAACAAAAGTATATACAACATATGGTAACCACAGCAGCAAAAATACAAGGGTCATTATGAATAATGTGACAGTCAGTTTTCTTTGTCTATTGGCCGCACCATGGGACGGAGGACGGGTTCCACACCAAAATTTTAAAGCAATGGAGGTGTACAAAACACAGATAACAACAAGGCAGAGGAAACAATATGAGAGCCATAAGTAGTAAGAAAATAGCAATTGCCACTGTTGATGCAAGTCCCCATACCTACTTATCAACGGATAGGGAATTAAAATCATCGCAGTTAAAATCCAGACGCTCGCAATTGTTACCCCGAAGGCCCATTTTTTGATGTTGCGATGCCTGAATGGACGAAACGTCGCATGCATCCGCTCTAAAGAAATTACTGCAATGCCTGCTACAGAGGTGAGAGAGAACCACAGCTCTGCCATTAAAAGCACAACAATTGACCATTCCGGGCTGATCAAAAAGACATTTTCAGCTTCGCAACCGTAGAGGAGGAAAAGTAATACTATAGCGAAAGTGACACTTCCTCCAACAAACATATCAACCACGGTCAAGTTTATAACCAAGTACACGGCACGAGTGCGAAGATTACTGTTCTTTACAAAAAGGATTATTGATAGAAGGTTCACTGCGACCACAGCAACAGCTATAGTAAGGAATACAGCATACCATGTGCTGCACTCGGCTGAAGAGATCGTCATGGAGATCAATGTTTTCTTTTTAATTCTGTTTTCTCCTCCCTTCAGAAAGAAATCGAATAAAGTTTGGTTAGTTGAAAAAAGGAAGTTAATTGGAAGGTGGACTAAGAGGACTGAAGTCGACTCCTTAAATATCAAGAATGGAGGTTGTACATTGACAACAATTCTTCAATAGAGTGCTCACCTTAACTTTAATTTCTTGATACCTGTGTTAACACTGAAATAAACCCCTTGCTTTCACCTGTGGAAAGAAAAAAGCAACGGTTGAGGGGAGATAAAGATGAATAGGTTGGTCGGAAACTGAGGGCAAAAGAATATATGTAAATTGTAGCTGTTATTGTTAGCGCTCGTTGAACTGCAAGTGACTAAGAAGTAATGGATCACCTGGTAGAAAGTTTATTTCACTGGGAAGGGGGGAGTACTCAAGAAAGGTTTTTACGGGAAGGCTCCGCCCCGTGGTCCAGCCCCTTATCCTTATGTATACCATTTAATTATGACAGAAAAAGTACTCCTATTACATACCTAGTTTGGAACTTTGCATACATTTTTAACTGCTGTTCTAATCCAATGTCCTTTAAACTATGAATAAATCACAAAACAAGAACTTTTTTTTTTTACTTTTTCAAGGCCATAAAATGCATTTGTTCACCTTTCGGGCCTTTTTTACAGACCGAAATGATAGATTTTCCTACTTTTCCATATACTTCAGCTAGTAAATCCCCACCCTTTCATATACCTGAAGGCCAAATAAGGTATTCCTTTTGGGCGGAGCCTCCCCGTATAGGCCATTGTGGGGAGTACCTCCCCCAACCCCCGGGGTACGTTTCAAGAATATTTCTTCCATTAAACTTGGATAAGTCATTAAATATTCACAAAGAGACTGTATCGTATCGCACACTAATTGTGCCAATAAAAGTCTGTCAACTTCCAAGTTATCGTACCTCGAAAATATCATTTGAATGAACATTAAAAAAGCCAATAATTGAAGAAACTTCATAAGCTTCTTTGGTATACGAAGTCCGATAAAGAAGTTCACTGCTACAGCCCTTCTGCCCATTGCAAGGATTAACCAAGTTATTAACCGAACGGTAGGCCATAGTGTAAACAAGATACAATTTTTTAATTATTTGTTTTTAAATTTGCCAAACCTTTTAGAAAAATTGTCGCTGAGATAAACTTTTTGTCAATAAGAACTTCCTTTTTGATGACTCCAGTAGAGCGAACAAAATCTTTTATTACAGCCTCTCAGCCTTTGCCGGGAAGGGATTTGCGCGCTTTCCTGTTCATCACGGGTATCGCCATTATTTACGCCCTAACTGTCTCAGGCGAGTGCTACCTGTGCTACCCATTCTTGCTAACAGCTACTTTCTGTTAGCTTCCTGTAACCGTTTATAGGTTTTAAACCACAATTATTTTTTATGTCAGTTTCCTGTTAAAAGGTAGGGACTGAAGCAAACAAAACATATATTTTTTCAACATCCTCTGTTGCTTTGTTCCATTGCAAATGTTTGGGTTTTTACTTGGTTTTTCTTACTTATCCTTTGTTGAACTTTTAAACGCTCAACGATCTAGTATTATTCGGAACCTAAAAGATGAAGATATTTTTGAAATTTCTAGTTAAAAAAGAACAATGCACAGAAACTTAAAACTGGCTGTATCTTCTAAAATCTTCTCTTTTGCAAGGTATGGCGAATTTAAGCTTCTCTTTAAGAGAAAGACAAAATTCAGCGAGGTTTAACTATGTGGCTGTGACTATTAGCAAGATGACTTCGCGATCATGCGAGGAGAGAATTAAATTGTTTTAAAGGCTTAACATTGTTTTTTCTCACAACAACTTCTAACATAGCGCTTACCTTTCCAACAAATACTGAGCTGGTCGGTTGTCTTGAAGGAGGCAGAGAGCTGAAGTTTGTAACGGATTTATGTAACGTTTGTAACGGATTAATGGTGTCCTTTCCTCAATTTCTCACCCGTTTAATAGCAAGAGTGAACGTGACGCTTGAGTTAATGTTCTAAACAGTTCTGACAGTCGCAGTTGTAATAGTCTATTAATTAGCCCTTTATTTTTTTGAGTGAAGTCTAGCCATATGATTAAGCGGCCACCAATTAAGCGCCCAGCAATGAAAGTCCTAAAATAATTGTAGAATTATGGCCACAATTAGATTTTAGTTTTCTCTGTGACGCATGCTACTATTATCACGTGGCCGCCGCTTTCTTTTGACTATCCTGACCACAGAGTTCTCCTATTGTTTACACATCTATCAAGTGATCACAAAACGTTTGATAATTGATACACTTATCGTAAATGATCTAATAAACGCCCCCTATCTTAAACGCTCCTCTCCATTAAACGCCCCCTTCCCTGAAAACCACACATAAACTGGAAACAGATGTACAATACAATCAATCAATTTATTTGCGTTCTTGCTTAATTAACACCGGTGGATGTTGACATTGAGCTATAAGAACTACCAGTACGGTACCCTTTTCCGCCACTTTGTATGTACCAAATACCGTTATGGATTTGTAGACGGTTTAGACTTATCAGCGGACGGACTTGATAGTCTTCTAAAGCTCTGTCATTTAGTTTATTATAATACCGTATTTAGGTTATCATGTATAAACGCCTCTCTCTTTAAACGCCTCTTATCTTTTAAACGCACCCCCCTTGGACCCTTGAAATTTAATAAACGCCCCCCGGCGTTTATTAGATCATTTACGGTAGTTTGGCTTTGTTCTATTTTTTAATATAATGAAAGGAAAATACAGTCAGAAATAGAAGGTGACGAATGATTATGCGTCGCGTAGAATGTCTTGTAACATCTGGGAATTTAACAGGCTACAGCCGCATTCAAGCCTTATTCAAGCCACGATTTGGTCCTTAAAATATGGCGGAATAATAAGACTGAAGCGATTTTGAGAGTTTTTTGTCTCTGATTGTGAGTTGCTCGTAACCAATTCCCAATGGGTACCACCGGAATATAAATATCAAGAAACATCAAATTAAAGATCTTACCTTCGATTAATGCCTGCTTAACGGATTTTTTTCGCTAAAAACCAACCAAAACGCATTTTGCCATTTTTGCATGGAATTTCGCGTGCGTAGACTTTCACGGAAAGATTAATAAACCTAAAGTTTGCAGAAATTGCGATCAGGGTAACACCTGAAATCTTGACATCTCTTGTCTGTCTTTGAAACCACCAAAGTCTTTTGAAGCAAGGAATGCGATAAAAACTGTTTTTTTTTTTTTTTTTTTGTTTCCCTTTGAGGTTGACCCGAACTCGTGAGGGGTAGACAGCGCGAAGAAACCTTCCAGAAAACGTCTTGGAAAGCCAAAAAAATTTCTCCGCGATTCCGGCCGTCATCTTTGTTGTTTCGCAAACTTGTTTCCAGTACTCTTTGACCGTTTTGTTGTTTTTACCTCATGTATTAGGTAGAAGTGTCACGGCAAAAAAGACAGAACACTAAGCCTTACCCGGACGGGAAATTTTTTGTTAACCTCAATATAATGGACTGGGAAATCTACGCGATGGGACACATGATGTAACGTTTTAGTTACAGACAGTGCCGCCTTTTCCGATTACAATAAAAATTTAGATCATAGTCTATACTGTGGTACTTTTGTTCGTGGAAAGTTGGCAGACGCTCACCACAACAATTTGAGGAGAAATTACTTGTTTGTTTCGATACTCTAGTCATTTTGAACAGTATTATATCCCGTCTCTTGTGTGGAAGTTGTCAGAAATCTCTTAAGGTTTCTGTTTCAGAATAAAGTTTCAGCTAACATTTTGCTTATTTCGGACGATCCTCTATTCAGCTGCTAACCTCCAACCGTGGAAACACAGTTGGTATAAGTAAAACGGAACATTGACTTTCAATAACACCCCAAGTTCAAAAGCCAACTAACGTTTGCGTTCTCTGCTGCCTTCAATCAAATTAGCAAGAGAAGTTTTCTTCCATGAATTAAAATCGAAAAGGTCGTGGTTTGTGATGTGTGATAAGTGGTTTCAATCCATTTTGTGACTTTCTATGTTTCAAGGTTTGTTGCTTGTGATCGTAATTATGATTGACGGTCACGAAAAACGTAATTCGGATAAGTTGGTTTTTAAACTATATGGTTCGCGTCTTATGAATGGTTTTAAATTGCGCTAATGGGACAAAGCCTACTGGCCTACGACAGACGCATCAAGTTATTTAAAGTTTTCCATGCATTAGAAAGATAACTACTCTTGTCTCAATTAAAGAGTTTCAAACGTCACAGCTTTTAAGCATTTATCCCTGGGATGAAGATATTTAATTTGAAACATCCTGTTTACTTTTTGGCCCGGAACAAAAATGGTGGTCGCTTCTTGTTCAGCCTTGTGTGCATCATTGTGCACTTATAAGTTTGGATTATCCAACTTAGTGTAAACTAAGGCAAAAAATATTGGTCAGCCCTGTAGGAGAACACGTGACCTATAGATGAACCTCCATATGCGATCACCTCTCATAAGCGACGCCAATCCAAAACACCAATTTTTTCCACTCAAAGCCTTATAGTTCAGTTTGTTTGAAATTGTCGTTCCTTTGTGGTTTGATGCTCATTACTACGAACTGTTCAATGTCTTATATTGGGTAGTCCGTGGTTAAAGTGATGCGCAATTTGAACTGAGTCTTTTTAACATGTTTTTGAAGGTGAACGCTGGAGGTGATCTTACAGACTTTCCTCGGTTCGAGCACGGAGATTGAAGAGAAAGGTTCTAGAAATGTTATATAGATACTGGTGTATTCTCTCCAACTAGCATTTTTAATCTTTTGATCAAGCAAGAGGGGGTCCTGAGTGAAACATGCTGTTGAAATTAAGGCAAAAGAAAAATGACTGTATTTAACTTAGAGGATTAGAATTTTCCTCGGTAATAATAAAGTCGCACTTCCATCATTCCTAGATAGAAATAGTGAAAGAAAAGGGTTAGGCTAGCTTAAGACTGATATATGCATTGAAAACAATTCTCTTAATCCCATTCCAGCGCTTTTTCCCTTCATACACAGTAAGCAAATAATATGCAGATTTAGCCAAGGCCAAATTCGAAGCTCTCTCTTTTTTGAAATAATTCAGCATTCGCTATGTTAACAAACGAGAAGCAAACTGGAAAAATGGACCCCAGCCTACGGTCAATTGAAAACCGATATAGGGGAAGAGACTGTTCCCTCCGCGAACTGCAGTGATACTACGAGACACGAGTCAGAGAACCAGTGAGGGTCTCGGTCAATAAACTTAACCTCATCCCAAAGAGGATAATGTTCGGTATTATTGGCGTGTTCAGAAACGGCTGAGAGTTGAGTTGGTGATGGCGTATATCCCTTTCATAATAGTAAGACAAACGATAAAGACGGACCCTTTATACACCACACAACGATGAATAATATCTTTTATGACAGTAAAGGAGTAATAGTCTCAGAATTGACAAAAAATTACGGGCTTTTGAGAGTTACCTGACAAGTTTGCCATACTACAGTGTAAATGTCTTATTCCCATTTCGTACTATTCTCTCCTTTTCCAGTGACCTAAGCTATTATTAAAAGGTCATGATCACGGCAAACACCAATGGTAAAATCATGTTTAAATAGTATGTTTATTGAATACTCTAAATTGGTTTACTTTACTGACACAGACATTTTAGAAAGTCTAGCAACAGTTGGAAAGCCCTATAAAATAGGTGTTAAGGTGTACAAAACAACATGATCTTGGCTTCATTTTATATACTCTGTTATATTTTATCAATGGCCACATACGTATTAGACTACAAAACAGCTCGTATTTTTGGCGAGGTTAAGAAGGCACGCGTGCGCGGTCAAACCAAAAGTTTGGAGCGAGAGGGTCAAAACGCAGAGTGGGACTGGGCCTAAGGGTGTGTCAGGCTCGCGCGCTTTTCGTGAAAATCCACGCCGGCCCTTCGCGGTTTTGCAAAACCGATTATGAAAAAAAAAAAAACGCCGACTGTTCTCCAGTCTACATACGTAGTAGTGCTTCAGAAAGTAGAAAAAAAGACGTAATTACACTGAAACCTGTATAACAACAAGAGCTTTGATAACAACTAATTCTGAATGTAAATGTACAAGATTAATCGGCCATTTCCGAGTTGCTTCAATCCTCTGTCTCAAATTAAGCGAAATGATTTGGATGAAAATGATTTGTTATTCTCATGCAAGCTAAACTCATTATCGAAAAAAGGAGTCTAAACTTGACTAAAAAAGTGAGAGCCCCCCGTTTAGAACTCGGAAATTCCCTGTTTATAAAGCACACTTTATACTGATTAAAAATGCCAAGAAAAGATTAGCTGAATAGTGGATTTAATGTTTAAAACACGTGCTGTAAGTGATTTAAACAGCTTCAAAAACGTCCTCGGACTACTTCATCTCAATAGAATTGCTAAATAATACATAAAAAGATGGCAAACTAAGGCAGTCAAAAGTAAGCCAACACGACAAGGTCTGTTTGGCAAAGTATAAACACCTAATGTATCCAATACGTGACTCTCCACTTTAGAGATCGGCGTGACGCCGTTTCTCTCCGTCATGGAAATCGCGTCGAAATCACCGTTCACGTGTGTCAACCGAATCCCTATCCGGTATGATTTTCGTGGCGGCACAAAAGCTATCCAGTATAATGTAACCATAGTTAGCCTAATATGTACAACATCTCCATCATTGCTAAAGCTTCATTTGCACATACCGCAGCAATTACGTAGCTCAAAGAGGCAAAACTTGTGGCCACGTACAACAACCACAAAGAAAGGAGAAAATGTCTTAAGTAATTAAAGTTGATAATTAAACTTAACAAAACTTATTTTGTCCCTTCTTCCTTATTTGAAGGGTCATTTCTCCCACAAGCTCCCTCTTGTTTTTGACTAGTCATCATTATGAACTTACAATTAAGTGTTACCAAGAGAGAATAAAAGGACAAAGAGCGCCCAGTCACGCCCTTGATTGGTACCAAGTCCTATTATGGCCTTGTTGGCACATGTGACTTTCTCCGAAGAATTTTTGTCCAATTAAACGCTTGAAATTAATCAGAATTTGGCATCCGTATTTATTCAGTGTTTTCAAGAGGCAATTCAACAGCCGTAATAAAAATCTTCTGCATTGTTTGCTTAGAGGCAGTCGCGCGGGGGATCATGCTGTTGGTGTTTAAACAATCGAAAAAAATGTGCGGACATGCCAGGAATTCCTTTTTGGTGCTAACGGGCTTGAAGAGGAATAGCAACATTTTGTCTTTGTCGACGTTTAAATAATATCAGGAGAGCTTTTCTGAACTCTGGCATCCTGATTGTGTAAATAATGGGATTAACAAGCGAGTTTGTGTGGCGTAGAAGGGTAAAAGATAATCTCAAGCGTAAATATGTCAGGGAAGAAAACTTAGTATCTAGAACAGAAAAAGGAACAAAATTATGTACAACATATGGTAACCACAACAGCAAAGATACAATGGTCATTATGAATAATGTCACAGTCAGTTTTCTTTGTCTATTGGCAGCACCATGTGACGGAGGACGGGTTCCACACCAAAATTTTAAAGCAATTGAGGTGTAAGAAATAAAGATAACAAAAAGGCAAAGGCAACGATATGACAGCCATAAGAACGAGTGCAATTTTCCATACAGACGTGTTAACGGAAAGGGAATTAACATTGCAGTTAAAATCCAGACACCACCAATTGCTACCCCGTAGGCCCATTTTTTGATGTTGCGATGCCTGAATGGACGAAAAGTCGCATGCATCCGATCTAAAGAAATTACTGCAATGCCTGCCACAGATGTGAGAGAAAGCCAGATGTCGATCATGAGAAGCACAAGAAAAGGTTGCCATTCCTGCGGAGTAAAAAACTGTTTAGAGCGGAATCTGAATTTATTTCCAACTTCGCAACCGTAGAGGAAGAAATGAAATACTACAGCGAAAGTGGCTGCTCCTCCAACAAACATATCAGCCACGGTCAAGTTTATAACCAAGTACATGGCACGAGTGCGAAGATAACTGTTCTTTATAAAAAGAATAATTGATAGGAGGTTAACTGCGACCACAGCAACAGCTGTAGTAAGGGACACCGCATACCATGTGCTGCACTCGGCTGAAGAGATCCTCCTGGAGAACATTGTTTTCTTTTAATTCTCTTTTCTCCTCCCTTAAAAAAGAAATCGAATAAAGTTTGGTTAGTTGAAAAAGGAAAGTTAGAAGGTAAACTAAAGAGGGTTGACGTCGACTTCTTAAATGCCAAGAATGAAGATTGTAAATTAACAAAAATTCTTCGATAGAGAGCTCACCTTCAGTTTAATTTCTTGATACTTTTTTTAACGCTGAAATGAATCCCTTCCTTTCACCTGTGGGAAGAAAAAATCAAAAGCAGGGGTTGAGGGGAGAGTACGTTGAGTTGCTTGACCGGAAACTGAGGGCAAAAAATATATGTGAATTTTATAGCTGTTATTGTTGGCGCTCATTGAACTGCCAGTCACTAGGAAGTAATTGATCGCCTGGTGGAAAGTATTTTTGTCATTGGGGTGGGGAGTACTCAAGACCGGTTTATAGGGAAGTAGGTCCAAGGCCTTTTCCCTTTTGTATAGCATTTAATTATGACAGAAAAGGTACCCCTATCACATACCTAGTTTGGAACTTTGCATACATTTTTATCTGCTGTTCTGATCCAATGTCTTTTAAACTATGAATAAATCACAAAACAAGAACGGTTTTGTTTTGTTTTGTTTGTTTGTTTGTTTTTTCACAGCCATAAAATAAATTTGTTAGCCCTTCGGGCTAGATTTCCCTACTTTTTCATATACTTTAGCTAGTAAATCCCCACTCTTTTATATACATGAAGCCCAAATAAGGTACTTCTTTTGGGCGGAGCCTCCACGTATAGGCTATTGTAGGGAGTACTTCCCCCCCCCCGGGTAGGTTTCAAGAATATTTACTACCTTAAACTTGAATAAATCATTAAATACGCACAAAGAGACTGTATCGTATCGCACAGTAATTGTGCCAATAAAAGTCAATCAACTTTCAAGTTAGCGTAGCTCGAATGAATAAGCCAGTGGTGGAAGAAACTTCTTCTAAGCTTCTTTGGTATACGAAGTCCGATAAAGAATTCGCTACTACAACCCGTCTGCCCATTGCAACGATTAACCAAGTTATTAACCGAACGGTAGGCCTGTTTTTCAGATCTCACATAATGTAAACAAGAAAATTTGTCGTTGAGGTAAACTTGTTGTCAATATGAACTTCCTTTTTAATGACGGCCAGTACGTAGTACGAACAAAATCTTTCATTACAGCCTCTCAGCCTGTGCCGGGAACTAGGTAAGGGATGTGCGCGCTTTCCTGTTAATCGCGGGTATCGCCATTATTTACGCCCTAACTGTCTCAGGCGAGTGCCACCTCTGCTAGCTATTCTTGCTAACAGCTGCTTTCCGTACGCTTCCTATAACCGTTTATAGGTTTTTAAGCATAGTTTTTTTTTTTTATGTCAGTCTTAAGGGTGGGGGTTTTGGAGCAAACAAAACATATATTCTTCAAAACATGTGATCGAAATCCTTTAATTGTTGTTTTGTTCCATTGCAAGTGTTTGGGTTGTTACTTGGTATCTTCTTACTTATCCTTTGTTGAACTGTTAAACCCTCAACTAGCTAGTATTATTCAGAACCTAAAAAGATGAAGATATTTTTGAAATTTCTAGTTACCAAAGAAGATAGAAAATTAAACCGGCCGTATCTTCTTAACTCTTCCTTTTTGCAAGATATCAATGTAAGCTTCCTTTAAAAGAAAGACAAAATTCAGCAAGGCTTAACTGTGCGGTGGTGACTATTAGCAAGATGACTTCGAGATCATGCGTGGAGAGGAATTGTTTTAAAGGCTTAACGTTGTTTTTTCTCACAACAACTTCTAACAAAGGACTTACCTTTCCAACAAATACTAAGCTGGTTGGTTGCCTTCAAGTGAAGCTGAAAATTTTTTGCTCAAGTTTGCGACGGATTTATTCCCTAGACTGACGTCAAAGGTTTCTTTGTTCAACGTAAACGTTTTGACTCATAATTAATAAGGATAAACTTTAAGTGAAAACGGTTCAAATCAAGTTTCGTATGTACTCCCGGTAAATGGTTCCCTTTCCTTAATTTCTGACCATTTTAAGAGCAAGAGTGAACGTGACGCTTGAGTTAATGTTCTAAACAGTTCTGACAGTTGCAGCTGTAATAGTCTATTAATTAGCCCTATTTTTTTTTTGGAGTTAAGTTTAACCTCATGATTAGAGTCCCAAAATAATTGTAGAATTATGTTCAAAAGGCACTGCACGATTTTACGCGTTTACGAGTTTACGCGTTAAGGTTTTCTGTTCACACGGAACTACCTGAACCGCACAAAGAAATCAGACGTCCAGAAGTTCAAAGTCCCGTACGAACAAAGTGTCCGGTCAAATTTTTCAGGGGGTGGAAAATTCGTCCGGTACTGTGAGATCTCCTCTGCAAGTATCACTCTCCTGTTTTAATGGGGAGAGAGTAACATGTACAGTCCCCAACTTTCTTTTCTCCTTTTCTCGTTCGCAGAATGACCTCACGGTCAATGTAACCAAGCAAACCTCCATAAGGTGGGTTTCCCCTGACGCGTAAACAGGGCCGAAACTAGATTTTTTGTAACGGAGCGCATTGTCTCGAGCGCCGAAGGCACGCGCCTTATTGTAGGTGGGTCTCGGGGTGTCCTCCTCCAGAAAATTTTCAAGTTTGGAGGCTCCGAAACGCTATTTTTAGCACTTGTCATGAGATATGTCTCCGAAAAATCGACCTCGAACCTGAAAATGGCAAACAATTGCAAGTCACTATAATCAAAATAACAGAGTCTAAAGAAAACAACTCCATCCACAGACTTGATGAGTCTGGCTCAACACGTCCAGGGGGGAAGCTCCCCCCCTTTGGCCTCCCCGCTAGCTACGGCTCCTGTAAAATTGACGCATGGATAATAGAAAGACTGGATAGGAAACTGGCTGACGAGATCGGTTCCAACATAGTGGAAAAATGTGACGTCACATTATCGAGAGCCATTCAACCTCTTACATCTGACGTTCTGCGCGTCTTACTTTTCATCGGATATTTCATATCTCTGCCTTCGTAAGGATGAAGAGGACTTTCTCTCGCAGAAAACAGTTAGAGGGTACAAAACCGGTAGAGGCAAAAGACGGAGTAACTGATTATAAAACTCTTGAGAGCGAAGAATGACTCCAGCGCCCGATAATTTTATGCACCAAACGAGAAGCCTAACTGCATAAAAACTATACGAAAACTTACATGTACACAGCTACAAAACACCTATAAAAAAGGCATAGCCTAATTTTCTACAAAGCACAAGAAAATCGGAAATAATTTTAACTCTTTTTATCACGGTTTTGACAATCAGTTCTTTTCTGCTTTTATCGACAAACTCAGCGAGTGTCGAATTTTATAAGCTAACAACACTTGATAAAATGATTTTATTAGCCGGTAGAAGTACCCAGCTCAAATTAAAAAAGCGTTTAATTTTCCCTTCAATTTTATTTACGGACACCCAGTGAGAAAGCAGCCGTATTTGAGAAATGTAAAAACTTTTGACATTTCCCCGCTGAGCGGGGAAAAGCTCACAGCAGAGAAAGAAATTTGCTTACGGACCACCAAACGACGTTTATATCTTTTTCAAGTCAAGTTTCATAGTGAAGCAAGTTGTTTTGTTATTTTCAGGTATAAATGTTCAATGACCCAAGGTATATTTTCAGTCAGGTCTTTAAAAAAGCGAACTACAACGCTTTTAAAATGTTATGTTAAACGGATAATTGTTAACTAGTAGAATACAACTGGAAAGCAAACTCTCCTGGTTAATGGTAGAACCTTCTCTAATCCTTTTCACGAGGAAACAGTTGTCTTCCGTAAGCCTTAATAAAACTTAGAAATATATTATCTTTGAAAATACTGACCTTTTCTTAGGATGAAACAAAGTTTAAGTTTTTGTGTAGTGTTAATGATATGGATAGGGAATACTGTAAATCGCCTCTGAAATAAACATTAACGCTGTTCCCAAAGAAAAATAGAAGCTGCTTATATGTGGAAAAAAAAAAAAAAACATTAACATCAGGGGTTATGGAGTTTTTGTTTAGTCTGAGGTGAGTGGATGAGAAATTGAAAAAATGTGACATTTGAAAACAAAATTCATTACCCCAAGAAAGTACAGGTATATGTTTTATTCATTTGATTTAGAATATATCTTGGTAAGGTTTATTATCTACAGGTACATTGTTGCTTTGGATCTCTAAAACACCGAATACAATAATAGTGCTAATCAAGCCCATCTTAGGTTGGAAAAACAATGTGATTCAGATAGACCGTTTCAGAGAAGAACACTAACCAACTTAAACACATGACTCTGTAGCTAATACAAGCATTGACTCTCAAACACAGTTAATTTGTCCCACTCACAAAGAAGTAATAAATACACTTCAGAAGTGACAAATAAAGCTTCTGATCATAAATAACTTAGATGCCACCTTCTGGCTCTCATGCATGACAAAAGCAACTTTGTTGCTGTTTAATACAGAAAGATTGATTGATTTGTGCCCTCATCGACTATACAAATTGCCAATGTTTTGAGGTAAAGGATGAAGATGACTTGCTCTCGGAGAAAACTGTTAGATGGTACAAAACCGGTAGAGGCAAAAGACAGAGAAAATGATTATGAAACTTGTGAGAGCGAAGAATGACTCCAGCGCCCGATAATTTTGCACCAGAAGGTGAAGCCTAACTACATAAAAACTATACGAAAACTTACATGTACACCGTTACAAAACACCTATAAAAAAAGGCACAGCCTAATTTTTTACAAACCTCAGGAAAACCGGAAATAATTTTAACTCTTTTTATCACGGTTTTGACAATCAGTTCTTTTCTGCCTTTATCGACAAGCTCTGAGCGAGTGTAGAATTTTATAAGTTACCAACACTTGACAAAATGATTTTATTAGCCGGTAGAAGTACCCAGTTCAAACTAAATAAGCGTTTAATTTTCCCTTCAATTCTATTTACGGACAACCAAATGTGTTAGCCCATCATTTTAGCATTAAATTTGACCAACATTTTGTGGAGCGATTTC